ATCGTTCATTAAAGGAGATGATGAACGCATTATTGATAAGTTCTGGTTTGCCACAGAACTTGTGGGGGGGAAGCCGTTCTTACGGCTAGCCGAATACTAAATCGAGTACCCCATAGCAAAACACAATCCATTCCATATGAAAAATGAAAAGGAAGGAAGCCCAACTTGAATTATTTTAAAGTGTGGGGGTGTTTGGCAAAAGTGCAAGTTCCTAAACCCAAAAGGGTAAAAATAGGACCGAAAACCGTTGATTGTGTTTTCATAGGATATGCGACTAATAGTAAAGCATATCGATTTCTGGTTCATAAATCAGAAAATCCCGACATTCATAATAATACGGCTATAGAATCAGATAATGTTGAGTTCTTTGAAAATATATCCGTATAAAAAGGAAAGTGAGTCGATTGGTGAAGGATCTAAATGACCTCGGGAAGAAACAAAAGAAAGTACACTTAATCAGGAGGATCCAAGATGTAGTAAACGTCAAAGAACGTCTACTTCATTTGGACCGGATTTTGTGACTTTCTTATTGGAAAATGAGCCTCAAGCATTTAAAGAAGCTATGTCTTCTTCGGAATCATTATTTTGGAAAGAGGCAGTCAATAGTGAAATAGAATCCATACTGAACAACCATACATGGGAATTGGTTGATCTTCCTCCTGAAAATAAACTGTTCGGTTCTAAATGGATCTTTAAGAGGAAAATGAAAGATGATGGCACTATTGACAAATTTAAGGCAAGACTTGTGGTCAAAGGGTATAGACAACGAGAAGGTCTTGACTATTTCGATAATACTCTCCAGTTACAAGAATTATGTCCATACAAACGTTAGTAGCGTTAGCTGCAGTTTATGGTCTTGAAATTCATCAAATGGATGTTAAGACAACCTTCTTAAATGGAGAGTTGGAGGAAGAAATTTACATGGAACAACCTGAAGGGTTTGTGGTTCCAGGAAAAGAAAAGAAGGTGTATAGACTTGTTAAGTCCCTTTACGGACTAAAACAAGCACCCAAACAATGGCATGCGAAATTTGACCAAACAATGTTGTCAAATGATTTTAAAATAAATGAATGTGATAAATGTGTGTACATTAAAAATATTCCAAATCATATAGTAATTGTTTGCTTATATGTGGATGATATGCTGATAATGAGTAATGACATTGCCAACATAAATGCGACTAAGCGCATGCTAACTAGCAAGTTTGATATGAAAGACTTGGGAGTTGCTGATTTAATTCTGGGAATTAAGATCCATAAGACTTCTCAAGGTCTGGCATTGTCACAATCTCATTATATTAAGACAGTACTTGAAAAATTCAAGCACTTGGGCATTAAAGTTGCAAAGACTCCAATTGACGTGAATCTTGCATTAGCAAAGAGCAAATGCCAAAGCATACCACAATTGGATTATGCTCGTGTGTTGGGTTGCTTAATGTACATCATGAATTGTACACGATCAGATATAGCTTATGCTATAAGTAAATTTAGTCGATATACGAGCAATCCAGGTCAATCTCATTGGATGGCCATGAAACGAGTTTTGGGGTATTTAGTACATACCCAGGACTTTGCTTTGCTCTACAGTAAATATCCTGTGGTCATTGAGGGATACTGTGATGCAAATTGGATCACTGGATCAACTGATTCCAAGTCCACAAGTGGATATGTATTCACTATTGGTGGAGGAGCGGTATCTTGGATGTCGTCCAAACAAACTTGTATTGCCCGCTCTACAATGGAGGCTGAATTCATAGCCTTAGATAAAGCCGGTGAAGAAGCTGAATGGCTCCTGAATTTTTTGGAAGATATTCCATTTTGACCCAAACCGTTGGCACCAATATGCATACATTGCGATAGTCAAACGGCAATTGGAAGAGCTGGGAGCGTTATGTGTAACGATAAATCTCGTCATATACGACGAAGACATAAAACCGTTAGGCAATTACTCTCTAGAGGAATTATCACGATTGATTATGTAAAGTCAAGTGATAATGTGTCGGATCCACTTACAAAAGGCTTAACTAGAGAGGTAGTTGAGAAATCATCAAGTGGAATGGGACTGTGGCCGAGAACAAGTCATAGTGGTGGTAACTCTACCTAGAAGACTGGAGATCCCAAGATCTAGGTTCAAGGAGGTCAAACAAAGTCATTAATGACGGTTCAACACTGTCAACTAAACTTTTGGTCCATTCTCGTGATGAGACAATGTTCAGTACCAAGGATAAAACATTAAGGTTTTTTAATGATTTCTAAATTTGATACGGGGTATATCAAATAGTGTATCTACGGGATGACACGTTTAGGAATCACCTATGTAAGTGTGAAGTGTTAGCCGCTTCAAGGTGAACTTTGTAAGGCTAGTTCTCTACGCACTTATGAAACCAGGCGGTGCTCATAGCTGAAACGAACACAACAATGAGAACCAAAGACGGTTAAGGGTTGGTTGTGTGACTTATGGTTGTCTAGGTATACACCAAAGTTCGACGGTTCGATGATCAAATCTACCGATTGACCGAGTATATCCGACTTAAGTTCACTTCAGAAAGTTCAAAGGGAAACCTACTTATCCAGATGCAATTAATCCTTGCTTGCGAATCACACAATTTTTCATGCATATTTCCGTGATATAGCAATTCCCCATTCATGTGGGGGATTGTTGGGATTTTAAGTATGTTAAATGCTTAAAATAGGGTGAATGGAAAATAGAGGGAAATAAAATTTTTAAGTGAAATTTTAAGTTTCCCCCCTTGATGAAGGAACATTGTCCCATATTGGAAGAGGAAGAGGTTTTTTATGGGTATATAAGCAATTGCTCTTCTTCTAGCTCTTAAAGAGTTGAGAAGAAGGCAAGCCTCACGCCGCCGTCGTCGTCGCTCGGCTCGGCTCGGCTTCGGCTTCGGCTTCGGATTTGGATTCGGATTTGGATTTGGTCAAATGATTGATTGATTAATTTTTTGGACCAAATTTATTTGTTAATAGTAAAATATTAACAAAAATGTTATTAAATATTCATTTTAATAGCAGAATATTAATTTTAAAATAAATATTAATATTAAATCCAATCCCCGTTTTTCCAGTTATGTAACTGAAAATTAAACTACCCTCTTCAATTTTTCCTCTTTATTTTCCCTCTTTATTGTTGAGTAAATAGCCATTTATGTTATGGCATTTATGCTATGGCCGTTTTGCATAAATAGCCATTCTGAAGAGTTGCACCTCATCAGATTTCAGCCCAACTTTGGCTATAAATACAAGACTATTCTGCTCAGAATTTCCATACGATTTCTGAGTTTCTCCTGCTTCTTCTGCATACTTTTAACATCAAACAAAGCAACTGTAAGTGTGATTTGCTACCAAACTTTGTGTTCGCTGAAACACTGGGGTTTGAAGTACCACTACACCAGTGTGTAATTCGTTCTATCCTGGGAGGAAATAATCCACAACCTTGGGTACTAGGAGGGGATTAAATTCCTTAAGGAAACATTGTGAATTCAGTGGGCTCGGATTAAAATTCTATTTCTATTTTTTATTTCTATTTATGTTCATTTATATTTTCCATAATTATTTTACAAATACAGTTTATTAATAAATTTCAGATAGTTTGGAGTGTGCTATATGAACCATTCGTATTCATCCCACATATTTAAATCGATATCATTCGAAAGTGACAATATCGTATCTCTATACCGTTCTATTTGTATTCACTTTATTTCAATATTCAATAATTGTGTGTTTTCCAATAGTAGAAACTCTACATTTCTTGATGAGTTAATCTCTTGGCATACTAAAATGACCCCTAATAATACTAGGCATTGTTAGGTGTTTGCCATAATTTTCTTATCATATTTGGTTTTCTTATCTCTTGAAGGAAAAGGGCAATATAATTACCTTAACTTGGTTTTCCTTTTTGTAAAAGGAAATTATAAATCTCCAATATTTGGCTAGACCTTTTTCTTGTAGGAAAAGGTTTGGACTTCTATAAATTGAGGATCCTTCCTTCACATTCAGTAGCATCCACAATGTAGCCATAGGGGGCTTGAGAGTCGTGTCTATGGGGAGAACTTTACGGGACAAGTATTAGTGTGTCACTTGTGTTTGCCTCTTCGTGAGGTTGTTCTTTCGATATTTTGTACTCTCTTTTTATTATAGTGGATTGCTCATCTCCGTTGTGGACGTAGGTCAGTTGACCGAACCACGTTAAATGTTTGTGTCTCTTTTGGTAGATTTCTATTTGTTGTATGATTTATCGTCGTTCAAGGTTTGCTTTGCTAGCTTCCGCATGACACCTGCTTTTTCGGTCCTAACACAAATAATTATCACCCTTAAACATGTAAATAAATATTTTTATATACATTCAGTCCAAAATAGTTATATTACTGATAGGATCGTTCTATAATACCTTTTCCATCATAAAAAGAACCACGGCTCTAGAGAGTCAATTAACGTATCTGATTTTCTTAGTGAATTCGTACAAAACAACAAATTTTCTCAATAACAACCTTGGCCTATGTTACATCACTTATGCACAGTGCACTATATATAATGTTTTGTATAATTTTAATTTGATTGGGTAGGTAATGTAATATTACCAAATCTGATTTGAAAATATTGTCCTACCATGAGTAAAAATCAAATATTGATTATGTTACCATAATTAAGTTTCAAGTACAGATTAGCATGATATAATCATTAATCAAATATAGATTGTAATAATATAATTAAGAATCAAATATATTTTATAGTCCTTGATATTTTCATTTACCCAAACAAAATAACATTTTTATGAGTAGAGTTAAAATTAGATGTAACTAAATTATAGGAGTAGTAAATAATAACCAAACACGCAACTAAATTTAGTAAGTGTCAGTTTTATTTGCAGTGACTGCTAAGAAACGTCATGGTAGGGATGAAAACGACTTCAATTAGATTTTCCTGTTTATGAATATATAGATTGGTATGTTATTAATTATTTTGGCAGCCCCGTTTGACCAGTAGGTTTTCGCTAGCACTATAAGAGGGCCTGCACCTGTAGTGAATTTCTTTATCAGTTCCCTAGTCTTTTATAGAAGAAATTAAACCTGACTATACGAAAGTCCGAAAACTAGACCACAATTAACAGCTAGCGACATGGCTGCCAATGGCATTTCCCATGTAAATGGTTCGCTTGGAAAGGTTATCACTTGCAGAGGTCAGTTTATTAATATTTTTTTTTTTGGAACCCCCATGAAACCGCTACGGTCTCTGCCACAGCCTCTGCCCTTCAGGTGAGCACTCTGTGCGCACGTAAACTCAAATGGGATGTAAATCGCACTAGGCAAGCCATGTGCGACAGGTTCGAGTTCAACCCAGAAGGCATTGAGGGGGGATCGATCCAGTTTATTAAATTTTGTTATATAGGAACATTGGGATTTTGTTCTTTCACCATATAGAAATTAACAGAGACGTTATATATATGATGTTGTTCTTGTTGTTGCACCAGCTGCTGTGGCCTATGGTCCGGGGCAGCCCTTGGCCGTAGAACAAGTGCAGGTGGATCCACCTCAGAAAATGGAGGTCCGAATTAAGATCCTCTTTACTTCCATCTGTCATACAGATCTCAGTGCTTGGGAAGGCGAGGTATATATGTACTACCAAGATTCAATCACATCACATATACATGTTCTCAATTTATTTGTTACTAACTATTGTGGTGATTTTTTAATTGGTGTAAAGAACGAAGCTCAACGAGCTTACCCTCGAATTCTGGGACATGAAGCCTCAGGGTAAGTCAAACTTCAAACAGAAAATATATAAAAGTATTTCTTTCTGAAAACGTACTTATGTAGAGTGGTGGAGAGCGTGGGAGAAGGGGTGACAGATATGAAAGCAGGAGATCACGTAGTACCAATATTCAATGGAGAATGTGGAGACTGCGTTTACTGCAACTCTACAAAGAAAAACAACTTGTGTGGCAAATTCAGGGTGGATCCGTTCAAAAGCGTGATGGTCAACGACGGCAAGTGTAGGTTCAGGAATAAGGATGGCAACCCCATCTATCATTTCCTCAACACTTCCACATTTAGCGAGTACACTGTTGTCGACTCTGCTTGTTTAGTCAAGATTGACCCCAATGCCCCACTTGACAAGATGACCTTGCTTAGCTGTGGCGTTTCCACCGGTAATTTATCACTTCAATTTTTAACTGTTACTCCTTTAATTTAATTATTTGATCAAATATACGGCTATCAAATTTGGCCCAAGCCCAAATGACTCATCCACTCCGTCCAAGGTTGGGGTGATTATTGGTTAAAATATCATGGTATAGCCAGTTTTCACACTGATCAATGAAAAATAGCCAGCGTTTATCAAGTCAATGAAAAATAGCCACTATTTTGCTGCAACAGGGACCGGTCCAGTATAATATACGGGAGTTCGGGTACATTTATGTACGAACTCCAGCATATTATGCTGGACCGGTATACTTTGCTAACTCCTGTAAAATTTGCGGGAGACTGGAGCACCAGTGCTCCAAACTCCAGTATATTATACTGGACAATTATACTTGCTGGAACTCCCGTAAAATTTGCGGGAGTTCCAGCATAGTTATCCTGGAACTCCCGTAAAATTTGCGGGCGTATTTTTTCGGATTTTGAACAGTGTTTTCGCTCAGATTTAAAGTGGCTAAATTTCGATGACTTTTGAAACTTGGCTATTTTTCAACGACCAGTGGTAAATCTGGCTATTTTTGAATTTCTCCCTGATTATTGTCCCGCTCATTTATTGAACTCAACTCATCTTGACTCAACCTATCTCACCCATTAAAGTTGGGCTAATTTTAAGTCCAAATTATTTCATGAGTAATTTTGCCAAAATATCTTAGAAATAAATTTATGTTTTTGTTTGATACGTTATGTATGAGTATGACCAAAACAAAGAAAAAAGTCTTATTCAGTGATTATACTATTCATAAGAAAACAACATATATTAATTAAAGATTGATAAGAGTTGGGCAGGTTGGGCTATGACACAAATTTTGGTCCATCTTTGCCCAAGTAACTTTTGGGCGTGTTAAATGACCCGCCCAATTATTGACTCAACCCGTTTTGACTTGCCCAAAATGTGCCAAACCCGCCCATTTGACACTCCTAATAAAAAATATACATCTAGTACAACGAAATACATGAAAAAAAGAGTAGTCCTATGCTCAAATCATTCCCCGATCACGTAGGGACCGAGGACGTGCCGCACTCTAAGGAGTATGATGTGTACAGTCCATCCTAATACAAGTATTAATAACTGCTTTCACGGCTCGAACTCGTAACCTACAAGCTACACGGAGATAACTTTACCGTTGCTCCAAGATTCCAAATACCAAAAGGACAAGATTTTTGGTGTCCTACTTGTGCAGAAAACTGCTATTTCTGAACTTGTTTCAATAATTTTGCAAGTTGTGGATACAACTAAAGAGAAATGAAATGGATGATTAATGATGTAGGTTTAGGAGCTGCGTGGAACACTGCTGACGTTCAAACAGGGGAAACGGTGGCAGTGTTTGGATTAGGAGCTGTCGGTTTGGCTGTAAGTTCCTAATTAATCACTTTTCTGTCTTTAGGCTTTACAACAATATGTTTCTGTACTTGTTAAATGGTTTCATCCCGGACTATCTGAGAATTAGAAAGGTATTTTTACAAAAATAATATTATAACTAGTAACCATCCATTAATTCATAATTAAATGATATACAGTGATTATTAATAAGTGGGCCTGAAGCTCTTTACTCTACTTCTTTTATACTCAATTGTGAGTGTCAACAAGAGCATAGGCATCAACTTGATGTTGGATTTCTTCAGGATATCTGTTACTTCAACCGTTGACACAACTGTCCCCATTCCCATGCCCTTCTAATTAATTAGGACATCAATTTCTGTCTCCATCTCTTAGATGTTGGATTTCTTCAGGATATCTGTTACTAGTAGTAGCTTTCTCCCTTCTCTATTCATTACAACTTCGCCACGTTGACTCGTATTAGACCGTGACACAATTCATGGAACTAAGTCAACTAACATAGAGATTTGTCATAGTTTTTATTAGATCAAGGCAATTAGTGTTTCAATTTACTTCTCCATCCTAACTTTGATTTACTTCTCTATAACCCCCCCCCCCCCCCCCCTCTTTTTATGGATTGAAGCATAAAAAGGAGAATCTATTACAGTAACAGAAGGTGTTAAACATTATCTTGGCAAATATTATGTGATTTAAACTGACCAGTCTCAAAATAAGATTAGCAAAACAATTAATTCAAATTTCAATTTGGGTGCAGGTTGTGGAAGGGGCACGGACCAGAGGTGCATCGAAAATCATAGGAGTGGATATTAACCCTGAAAAACGTATCAAAGGTAAACTATATATATATATATAACTCTTCCTGAAAAAGAAAACCATTAAGATAGAGTAATCACTAATTAATTTTGGCGGCTGCTATTAGGATGAATAGAAAGGCATCCATGCATGTGCCTAATTTCTGGTCGAAGCACACAGTTTGTAGCAAGTATTAAATGATTAAGTAGCTGTGAAGTTTGACAGCTACAGAGTCTGCTCTGAATTAATTAAGTTGACAATTAGACAAATAATTTAGCCCCTAATGCTACTTTTTATGCTCCTAAGGTCAAGCAATTGGAATTACCGACTTCATAAACCCCAAAGAAATCGATATACCCCTGCATGAGGTCAGTTCTTATAAAGAAACAAACTCCAAATACTAATTTATAAATAGGATAATTATTTTTATTTATAATCACATGGTATTTTGACTTGGGGTGCAGAAAATAAGGGAAATGACAGAAGGAGGGGTACATTATAGCTTTGAGTGTGCTGGAAATTTGGATGTTCTACGCGAGGCATTTTTGTCCACACATGATGTAAGATTTATTTTATTCTTTTTGCACAATAAATTAGCATAAAAGAATGACTGTTGACAAATACATATACAGCCCATTAAACTTGGCCCAATATTTCATTTGGGCACTCTAACTAACTTTTGTTCCATTTTGGCCCTTCAACTCCATTTTTTTTGTTCCACTTTAACACAAAAATTTTCCCCCCAGGTAAAATGTAGAGCGTGCAAATACCCAACTGTTATCCCCCATCCCATTGCCCCCCCCCC